TCATGTTCAATCAATTTAATGTACCACAGGTTGATTCAAGGTGTAGGAATCTGTCAGCATCTATCAAGAGAAAAATGGGAAGCACTTGAGCCAGATTTCAAGTGTTATTGAAAAGGGTCTGAATACTTATGCCAATGTGATTTTTTCCTTTTGTTTTTCTTTTTAATAAATTTACAGACGTTTCTAAAATTCTGTTTTTACTCTGTCATTATGGGATACTGAATGTAGATTAATGACAGAAAAAGTTCCAGAGAACATTTTTATTGTTAGAGAAGCCCTGTAAAGATACTAGAAATAAGAGTTCAAGTCTATTCATTCTCATTCATAAATAAATGAGATGCTCTCAAAAGTAAACAGACATGTAATTCTGCTTAACAAACTTTCTAAGGTAAATCCAGTGTAATCTGTAAATCCCCAAAAGCCGAGTTATTACTGCCAATGATGTACTTCTAAATAAGTGTACATGGGCTTGTAGATTTGGATGCAATTTTTCCGGAGACATGTGACTCTAAAATAATAAAAGGTTAAGTATATATACAGATTTGCCCAGATTTAAATCGTGTGGACGTGTTCCCAGAGGAGCAGGATTTCTTCAGTTTCTCCTACTTCCAGAATCCCCAAAGGCATTAAAACATTTAGATCAGCTTGACAGTTGGTCCAAATATATTTCTTCCCACTGGAAGCAGTAATAGGAAATATTTTTCCCAAATAAGAAAAAAGGCAGTGACAATGTTTTTATCCTGCCAGTCTTGTTACCAAATGGGCATCTGAAGCTTTTGGAGAAGGATTTAAGAGTTCTGTTCAAACAATAAGAACGTTCTGCCAGTAGCAGCATGGAATGACAATTTTTAAAAGGCACATTTTAAAAACCATAAAGATAATTCCTTATTATCCATTTGTTCAAGAAGAACCTAAGATTGAATGTCAGCATTGAGTAAAATGGGGAAAAAAATGAGTACATTTTACTAGCTATGATTTTTTTTTTCTCAATATTACCTCGGATCATGAAGATCTGAAGTAACTTTAAAGGTAAAACACTATGGAGGATATAAGATATAAAAACATGTTGCAAAGAATAGTAACAACAGAAACACACTTCTACAATTCCTTGTTAAAGCCAAGCCAGAAATCCAAATATATCAAATGCAGAAACACTGAACAAGTCTATCCAACAGAACCATATCACACAGCAGAATCACTGACATAATAGCTGCACTTTTAAGACTGAAAACTTCTTTTTAAGGTGTTATAAATAATGTAAGTTAAACTACAGTACAATAATCTTTCCTAGACATGTTTTCACCAACATCTCTATTTGCATCTTTTAAATCTTAAACTAGCTGGTTCTCAACACAATGGTCCCTAAGCCTTTGCACTGTGCTTGAAACGTTACCAGAAAACCGTTGCACAGTAGTTATTTCCGTCTTCTTTTAATCTCAAAAATAATCGTAACTGATACTAGCTGTGCACATCTTAAAAACAACCTCCACACTTAAGGTGTGTGTTTGTGTGTGTGTGTGTGTGTGTGTGTGAGAGAGAGAGAGAGAGAGAGAGAGAGAGAGAGAGATGGAGAGAGATGGAGAGAAGATGGGAATATGAACTCTTTATGAGCCATAACATTTTCCTTGAAGACCCCATCCATCTATGTTCAATAGAGGTGCTTTTAAAAAAAACATTCATTCTCACTGATTTAGACCAATGTGTGTCCTGGAGAGGGTGGGGGGGTGTCTTGTTTGAACTTGATGTGCTAAAAGCAACTCTTAGAACACATTTCAGAATGTTCTACAATCTAACAGCCACCGTGAACACCCTGGTGAGCCGCAATGAGCCATGGTGGCGCAGTGGTTAAGAGTGCAGTACTGTAGACTATTTCTGCTGACTGCCTGCAATTTGGCAGTTCAAATCCCACCAGGCTCAAGGTTGACTCAGCCTTCCATCCTCCTGAGGTGGGTAAAATGAGGACCCAGACTGTTGGGGGCGATATGCTGACTCTGTAAACCGCTTAGAGAGGGCTGAAAGCCCTATGAAGCGGAATATAAGTCTAACTGCTATTGCTATTGCTATGTATTTTCCCTCTGAAAGATACAGGGTGGGTACCAGAAGCGGATGGCTTCCTAGCTCCGAAATCAGCCTAATGTCTTCTATTGATATTCAATAATATTATTAAATGCTCGTGGGCTTTTTGGTAATTTATTGATGTTGCTGAATAGATTGTTTTATTATTAGATTAAAATATGAATATAGGCCGACTCTGTAAACCGCTTAAGAGAGGGCTGTAAAGCATTGTGAAGCGGTATATAAGTCTAAGTGCTATTGCTAAAAGAATTCCATTATTAATATGAACTTTTAGAGGCAGAGAAACTTTTATTAAAATATGTGATTACACACCAAGCGTAAGTTAAAAAAACATTATAATTCATCCAACTTTAAAAAGGAAAAACTATTCATGCCTGCACAAGCGATACCAATCAGGTCCAGAAATTTCTAATGGACGTAATGATCAGCATTCATTCTAGAGATTTCCCAATTCTACTAAGTACAACTGTCATAAGGAGAGCAGCCTGGATAGTTGTAATTAGAGGGGAGATTAACTCTGCCCTCCAAAAATGATAGATATGGCATTTCAGAAGCAGGTGTACTACTGTCTCAGTTTCAAAGTCTGAGCAGAGATACCAATGCTCTTCATAGGGAGTACACTATTGTATCTTTCTATCAGCCCCACCCAGTTAAGAGCATCCGAATGTGACAATATAAGTGAGATAAAACCAATAAATGATACAGATACTGGGGGGGGGGTTGTAAAATGGGACTCTGTAAACATTGTAACAGAGGTAAAAAATGATTTATTTTTTTGTAAAACAACCTCTAAAATTCTCTGTTTGACATCTTTCCAGGTTTCAACCAAGCATAGCATGGCCTGGGGGGGAGGGGGTGGGAAGTCTACTACAGTGAACCATGTCATCCATTATTTGTTTCTTCCAACAAGACTTGTATCTGTCATGACTTGTTGGGATAGTAATTCATCTCCCAAACATTTGTTTAAACTAATAATTCAATTAGCTCAGACAAGAGAAAGGCAGAGATTGGATAAACTCTACAGGGTTAATGAGCCAGAAGTCAGGAAAATAATTGGCTTTGGCAAACAAGTTTCTTTGCTTACTTGCTCCAAACAGAAGCAATTTCAAGCAATGCTAGTGTACTTTCCTCCAGCCATTTACGAAGAGATAATATCTCAATCCAAAATGAATAAAGCGGTGTTTCTCAACCTTGGCGACTTTAAGTCCTGTGGACTTCAACTCCCAGAATCCCCCCCCAACCAAGGGAAGTTTTCTCCTCTTCTTCTGTCTCCCCCACACCCTATTTTTGACAAAACACAACCTATTTTGGATTTGTTAGCAATTCTCCACAAGATACAAAGTGCCTTTTTGATCAGTGCAACGCTTCCAAAACTGCGTGGAGCTAAGGAATGAAATCCCCCTACCCTTCAGCGGGGGTCGTTCCTGGGTAAACGAATCGAGGCTTGCAAAATCTGGCATCCTACCCATCGGGGGGGGGACGACCCATCTCTCTGCTAGCCTCAGCCTCACAAGGCTGCGTTCAATAACGAAACCGGTCTGCATAAGACGAAGGCCTACGCTGTGCCTTAAAACCNACCCACCTCGGAAGGATGGAAGGCTGAGTCAACCCTGAGCCGGTGAGATTTGAACCGCCGAACTGCAGAACTAGCATTCAGCTGAAGTAGCCTGCAGTGCTGCACTCTAACCACTGCGCCACCTCATGTGATATACCACATGACAGCACAGGGGGCTTAGAAAAAAATTAGTACAAAGAAAGGAAACACTGACAATACTTTGTAAATATTAAGTAGAAAGGGTGGAAAAAGCAGCCTAAAAGTTGGAAAAGGGACTGGGAATCATTGTGCTTTTGTTCTCCCTCTTAACCTACATTCCCAAGTATTCTTATCTAGGAGAAAAGGTTTAATTCCGGACACCTTTATCTACCTATTTGGTAGTGCAAGAACCTGTTCTAACAATCCTAGGCTTGATTCTCTACAAATCTTGCCTCATTCACTTTAACCTGCAACTGTAAATATGTTGGAAAAAGTTTTATTGACGCCAATGCCTTAGCACCACAAAACACCATGGCTATCAGCAGAAACTCAGACAACAATGTGGGTCAATGTCTTGTATCTTCTCTTAAATTTTTTAAATGCTTTTTTATCTTGCTTGTGAGCCGCCCAGAGTCCCAATGGGAGTGGGCGGCATACAAATTTTATTAAACTGAAACTGAAACTTATTTGAGTCCATAGCCTGGCTTTATGATAAGAAGATTCTAGAACTCTTATGCCTTTTTTCTATTCATTTCACAGCAATAGCTAGTAATACTATTCATTGCCAGTCACTATCAGCTACCAGCATTAATTAGATCTCATTTTCTAAGCAATGTTAGTGAGAATTAAAGCAAGTTTTCTAGGCAGCTCCAGCCCCACAATGAACAGAGGAGTAATGAAATGTTCTCATTGCAGGTAGAACTTCTCACAACGGTTGTACATAATGTTGAGCTGAGATATAGTTTCTAGGCATCTCTAACGCTTCAGATTCTTGCTTTGAACAAGCAGGAGCCCAGACATGGCTTTTAAAGCAGCTGTATCTATTTATTTTTTGGCAGGATGAGCCTTCAAAAATTCCATAGTACAGTGCGATTTTAGTTACTTCCATTATGAAATGTGATGAGTGTTAGATGGGGACATATTTAATGCTGAGAACCTAAGTGCTTCTTAAAAATAGAAGGCCTTTGCTGGTATCATTTTATGATTCTATCACAACACGGTTTCAGCAACCTAAAATGTATTTATTTATTTTACTGTTATGAAGCATTTGAAGCTCCTCAGTCAGAACGGGGTCTAAGTGATAACGTTTGGAAAGAATAATTAAATTTATACATGAAAGCAACTATATCAGAATTGACACAGGTGTTTTCCACTTCCTAAAGATGCTTACCTGCACTTTTTTTAAAGCTACTGGCACACCATCCAACAAGCATGTAGCTCTGTAGACTTCACTGAACTGCCCACGGCCAATCTTCTTTTCTATCCGAAAATTGGCTAAAGTATTGTAGCCCATGTCAGGTCGTAAGGCTTTCTGCAATCCAAGAAACAAAAACAAACGATTAAGTAAACTTTCTTTTCTCTCCAGTGGAGCCAGGTGTTCTGAATATTAACTCCAGAAAAATAAATGTGAAAGGAGATATTCATGAAAAAAATAAAGTTGCACGCAGTGGCAGGAACAAGGAAATACTCTTTATTGGCAGCTATACTGAAGTGGGTGCTTGAAAAACACCAAGCAGTGTTTGTTTGAAATGCTCACTTGAGAAATGGGAATATTATACAAACTTGAGATAATATATCTGATTTTAAAAATGAATTCTAAGTGTCAGTAATTTTCCACTTAAAGATCTACAATTCCTTCTATATTTTTAAAACTGACGTCTGTGTTAACAAGGGGAGGTTTGATAGTTACAACAGATTTCCCGGTTCAATTTAAGAAACTAGTTTTTGTCTTCGAAGTCCAGGATTATGGTTCTGAACAGGGAATCGGGGAAAGGGAGCACAAGTTCCAAATCAATCATGGAGTTCACTGGATAACCTCAAGTCAGTCTTTTTCAGCCCTTTGGGTAAAAATGTTAGCCAATACAATAAGGTGCCATATGAAGTAGTAAGTTCTCATTAATTGGGGGGTCTTTAAATGAAAGCTACGCCATTATGTTTTTAAAACTAGTGGTTCCTGCAGTAAGCAAGGGGTTTCATTAGATGCCTCTGAAGTCCTTTCCAACTATATGATTTGATGAAAATATATCTTGCTACACATTAAGGACAACACGGAAGGTAAAGGGACTTCTTTTATCTTTTCAATTACCATTCTTTGCTATTTACCATGTTAGTGAAAACTGAACTCCTAAATATCTGAGGATATTTACACATACATACATATACGAACACACATGTGCAAATTGAGAGTAACACATATATGTGTTTTATAGTCGACTATTGGTCAGTTTAATATTCATATAGGTGTAACATTCAGAGGACAAGTTTCCTTTGGGCTACAGCCGATGAATAAGAAAATACGAAGAAGACATAAAACTCAGCATAGTGTTTCATTACTCGAGAGAAAAAGTAAAAATTTAACTCATTACTGATATAAATATATGGAGGAATTATATACTGAACCAAAATCAAAACCTGTGTGAAAATATTACAGAAGAGATCAATTTAGTAATCCTTACTGCTTCAAACAAAATCAAGAACATAAGCACAATATTAGAATCTACAGTTTTCCTCCATTTCCACTCTTGATGTTATTTTGCAACTTACTAATTAAACAAATACACACCTGATTAATACACAGCTGACCTTTTATATCTACAAGGCAGGACAATCAGTAAGGTAATAGTCCAGACTGTACTCTGTCCTGTTATACTGTATAATGTTGGCACATTTAAGTTTTACAGATTTCTCCATTAAAGGCCAAATTGAAACAACAACACCAAAGATATGGAGGAGAACAACAACTTTCTCATTTCTAGAGTTCATATTGATTCCTTCCCCCCACAAAAAATGTACCAATTCAAAATGATTTGGGAACAAAAATACTCACTTTAAAATTTCAATGGCTACTAAAAATCAACGTAGACTTTTGACTCATCGGTTACTCAGCCCCACAATCAAAAACATTCAGATGAGGCAGAGGCCAAACATGGAGCTGCTTTGATAGGGATAGCAGTGTCCTAATTCAGGAATATATAAAGTTGGGAAGCTCTCTCTCTTATTACTCAGATGCTCAGGCGACAGAGAAACGGGATGTAGCTTCATTAAGTTTGGAGCGTTTCTGTGGCTGTTTAACCAGCGTATATTTCAAAATTGGAATAGCGAATTGCGTCCTCCGCCTGCACAGCAACTTGACAAACATTAGCATGAACTGCTAAGGCAGTGTGACAGCCGCATGCTGAGAGCAAAGTCTCCCTAATGTGTTTTGGCATGCAGGTTTGTAATCACACATTTACATATGCAATGACCTACATTTGCATGTCAGATCACACACTGTCTGGCTTTATTAAGAGCGGGCACCTCTCTGTGTTTGGCGGCCAGAGTGGCGCGAGAGGGCCAGAGGGTGGTAGGTTTTTTTGGCAGTTGAGAGATGAACTGCCACTGAGCATTAGGCTGAGATAGCCTGAGCATTAGACACTTCATTAGAGGTAATCTGTTTAACAGTGGGCACTGTATGTAAACTTCACAGCCCATTTGCAGCATCTTCTCTGCCCACCCAACCCCAGTGGTCTCCCTTCAAAGGGCAGCGGGGCTGACTGACAGCTTGTCTCATCTGCTCCCTTGTCCTGTCATACAATTCAGACACAGAGACCTGACATGAGAGGCAACATAGCTGCACATCTCCCAACTATACAGCGGGACTCCCTCCCAGACATAAAGGAATTTGGAAAAGGAATAAACTCATGGATAATAATAGGGCCATCAGATGGTCAGAGAACATATTATCTAGCAATCATTAGACTGCATTGCAACCAGGCGTATTTTTTTCCTAAATGGCAGTATCCTCTATAATATCTAATAATAAGGGGATTTTGATATATTTGTTTTCCAAATAAAACATACATTTATACACTGAACTAAAATGACCTATTTTAACTCATTCCTGTGTTCAGAATAAATCCATAGTTTGTGAGATGAGAGTTACAAGAACAGACTCTCATTCTCCGTGCCTCTTTTGACGTCAATTCTTCCCTCCTTTCCTTTGTCAGAATAAAGTATGATTTGCCTGGCACTGCATACGAAGTCCAGAAAAGAGACAAAACATTTGCAAAATGCCATCCGAAGTGTAATCAAACAAGCACCCACCGCATAACAAGCAGCACATATTTTCACACTATGCTTATAGGGAGGGAAACATAACCACTGTGTAAAATGTATTTTCAGTCCAAATTCTACTACTTTGTTGAATTTGGTGCCTGTCAACAGCCTCCTTACTAAAACATCGCAGCTACAGACCAGGTTTCAACGTTTTAATTAAATGGTTGCACTCCACTACAATGGAGGTCCATTCTTCCAATAATAGCAGGGCCAAACACTTTTATGAATCCTTGAAAATGATGCTTGCAAAAAAGCAGCACATTCTTGCTAATGATTTCCAAAATCCAAGAGGCCACTTTGCTTTGTTAACTGTTACTTTCAAGTATTTATAGCCGCACTATTTTGTACTGACTGAAAATTCTGTGGACCTAACACAGTACAATATTCTCTTCCAGGACAATAGAGAAGAGTTTCCCTTGGGACTATGAAAAAATGCTGAAGGGATACCAGCTATATTGGCACATTATCTAAAAATCACCTTGCACGCTGCCTTTCTCCTCATTACACTATTTTTGCTGCTCTGATTCTTTATATTACAGAGTCTTTATTTTTTTTATCTCTGGTATTATTCAACCACGATACAGGTCTTTTTTTCAGTCAGCTAAGGTACCAACATCGGTCTGACGCAAACCCTGTCACAGATCAGAGAGCAAGGACAGTCTTCAAATTTATGATTTAACGTTCTGCTCTGCAGCAAAAGCCACAAGGCCACATCATCCCTTGCAGATGTTTAATCACCCTCTCCCCCTCCAGAGATTATGATTGCAACCGGATATTAAGCTAGTTTTTTTTCTACCATTGCATTTATCTTCACCAGTCATGAAGCACTTTAAAAAATTGTCCTGTTCAAAACAGAAGATATACTCTTGAAGCTTAGACTGTTGAAAAACAAAATTTTTATGTCACTTTCAATATGAGAGGTAGAAAGGGTGGGGTGCGTGCAGAAATACTCACTTGCAAGCAGAACCTGAAGGTAAAAATTTTTTTTTTACATTATGTTGAGTAACTTCAACCCATTTACACATTTCTATTTTTCTCAAAATACAACAATAATCTCGAAGATTTGAAGCAATTCTGGGGCCTGGCTGAATACTAACATGGGAACATATCACTAGAAACCAAAATATTTTTTGGAAAAAATACACATCACAAAATCTATTCCTGTCCACTTTTAGTAGGTAGGCAATAGACAATAGGTTCAGCTATGGGAATATGTTGAAGGATTTTTTCCTTAAAAAAAAATCTGAAGTAGAGAGGATAGACAAATAATAAAATTGGGTTATATAAATTGTGATGTAAGGTTTTTTTAAGGTTTTTCCTTGGAAACACCATTGTGGCAAAGATCCCTTTTCTCCATAACCTGGTTCTTCCAGGGCTAAACAGTTAGCTTTACAGATTGAGTTGACAATCATCAATCTCCAGCTGTGTAATCTTACCACAATTTCTCAGTTTAATTTTGTAGAACACTCACAATGCTCAGCTAGATGAGAATCTTCACTGCAGACAAGAATGAATTCTCACCAACACATAGAAAGCCCATTGTAATGTAAAGGTATCAGGAACTTGTGTGTTTTCTCAACTGACTTTTTCCTACTGCCCTTCCAAATAAACTTAACGTTAATTTAAAAGATTTGTGTGGCCACCCATCTTAGAAATCTGTGCAGCCCACAACAACAATGTGTTTGTCACCTCCATTAATGGCCTTGGACAACTGTGATATATTTACAGAATGCTCCTCTCTTGCCTGAGAACCATCAATTCCCACCTCATGAGCCTCAGATCTCACATTATGTATATTTTTGCTGGAGTTGCAGTATAGACTAAAGTCACTACATCCAAAGAAATTAATTGCAATTACACACTTAAGTTTTCATCCAAAACAAAAAATTAAGAATATAGCATCAGAGATTTATTTTTAAGGCAAGGAAATATTTCTTGAAAATGTAAAATTGGTGTAAATTCTGTTAAGGTGATTTCAGGAGATTTATGTATATCAAAAGTTATATTTTTACTGTGATCAGTTTTAGAGATCTTTGTACTGGATGAATTACAATTTTGATATAAGGCTTCAATTTTGCAGTTCTCTTTTCTTTCCTTTCCTTTTATTATTATTAATTCTTTTTGTTCTCCATTACCCCATTTCAACCCTGTGCATGTTCCCCCATTCATGTTTCCACTGATTCCAGAAAGGGGAATCAGAATCCGATTCTGTAATANATTTCTTCCAACAACCGGTTCTCCGAACTGCTTAGAAAGTTACCAACCGGTTCTCCCGAATAGGTGCGAACTGGCTGAATCCCACCACTGATGCTGTCACTTGATGT